CTTGTACTAGTGGATATACGTGGATATGAAAAACACTATAAAGAATGTAAAATGATATATTAAGATACTATTATTTGTAGTCAACAATAACACTTAGAAACTCGTGTTGAGGCTGGCAAAAGCATTTTTTAAAGACCATGAACCTTCACTGACTTTGCTGTTGCAACAACTGGTAAAAGGGTCTTAAAATGTGAGATCACCTCCCTGCAATTGCACTGAAAGAGAGTATGGGTAGTAGGACATGCACATTGTTCATTTCCCTACCCTTTTTAAGCCAAGTAAGAGACCTCACTCTATAATCCTGATTCTTTTCATTTAGCTTACAGAATTAGCTTTTAAACTTAGAAATTAACATGGAAAAAAACTTGAAAGAAAAACATGCTTGTACCAAAAATGTAACTATAGACTGCTATTCATCAACCTTCACAGCCCAAACAGACATTTTGTTCAAAACTTTAAAGGGCGAAATGGTCACCACCCTATAAATCATACCTTGTTCAGCAGCACATACCCATGTAGGCCAAATAAGCCAAGGGTAGTACGTAGCGTAGAAAGCACTGCTGAGGGGACTGGGCTCAAGGGACAATAACTTCTTTTGACTCTTGACAAAAAAAATCAATTTTACCTTGTTTATTGAAGTTGTACATCAGATTCATAACTTACACAAACAATTATAGTTGTACATTTTTCAAGCTCCTTCTGATTCTCTTTATAAACTTTCCAACACATTCAACGCTTTGTTCTTTCTGTTTCTTGTACTTAAGTCCTTTGAGGGATTTTCTCAACGCATACCCCTCTCTGATGTACTCACTCTTATTAGCAACTGGATTAGCCCATTATAATCATTTCAAGTATAATTTCAGAACTATAGCTAATACGGTAATTTTTTGTAAAAACAGTTTCAAGAAAAAACATGAAACCAAAGTCTTTATCACCCCCCCCCACCCCCCCCTAGAGGAAAAATCATGGTCAGTTTACCACTAATATCGGCAAACCGGTCGGCCCACGGTTTGGGCAAATGCTATTCAAAATTCAGGACTAGCAGATTTCATCCCGGAATCGCGTTTACCACTTGAACAAATCAGTTCCATTTACCGAAAAACGTCCACGAAAACCTAAAACTGGTATCAAACGTGACTTTTGAAGAATGAAACACGATTTCTGTTTCGTTTGGAACATTTTGTCTGGAATAACAGGACTTCATTTTCAGAAGTTCCGTTGCCCCGAAAATTCTCCGATGAAACGATTCAAAAAGTCGTGTTCCATTTACTTTCCGACCGGTTTTCCCGGAAAGTTTTCGTGAATGGCAAACAAACCATGTCCCTGAAGTCGCAGTGGACACTGGCATGGAGAGGAGAAAAACGAGGGCGAGTACAATGGCGACTTTCTCAGTTTTTCTTCAACTGTTTCGCTTAGTGTATGTTCTTAGTTGACAATTGTGAAATTGAATTAATTGACTTTATTCACTTTATCTTCGAAAAAACAAACGAAGGAGGAGAAAACGGTTTACTAGATGTTACCTACGAGCTGAGACCCTTCAAAATTGCGAGTTTTTGACCAACATGATTCTAATATGTAATCAACGTAAACAAAGGGGACCCTACAACGTATGTACCGTGGTTGAAAAACAATCGCCAAGCGACAGTTTCAGTGTTAACATTATACCAGATAGCTCTTGCGTCGGCACTAAAAAACCATACAGGATATGGCTTCTGTTCACACATGAGAGCGGTAATGTCAAGGCGATTTCTGTAACAGAGCGAAGCTTGGCCATTATAGGTGCATGTCACATGCCATTACATGCGTTAATTCTGACCAAGTCTGTTCTTAATGGCTTAAAGGCACCTACGCCACTGGCAAATTGAGTATTCAATCGACCAGGATAACTCAAATTGCTTTTCGTTAAGGTACATTGTATTGTGAAAGGTTTGAACTCAGGAGTCATTTCATAAGTAGGTTGAGTTTTGATCGTCCTGAATAGGACTCAAGTTCTTTTGACTCTGAAGGTGACTACCGCACAGGTTGTCGAAACGTCAGTCACTGTCGACAACAACAGTCCTATTCAGGACTACGTTCACCCGGACGATCAAACTCAACCTACTTATAAACATTCTGTACTGTTTTGTTCGAGCTATCAGGATCTCTTTCATTGCTAGTTATCTCGTCGGCTCCGTGTTGCTATAAACCAAGTAGTTTTTTAAAAATTTTGCTGACTTAATAACTGAATACAGCGTGAATAATGTTCTCTTCGATTCTCTGAACAGCGCTGCACTATGTCTCCAAAAAAATTTCCTGTTTTTACTTTACAAAACCAGGTTTCTCCATGGAAAACCCTTTTAATAACTTAGAAATCTCAGCTTATTGCTTTCATTTTTAGTTTCAAATTGCGAAGCCCCGCCAACCATTAACATTGGGCTAAATTTTTCTTCTCGTTTATCGAGCAGGAACTGTTTGACTTGAAAACTATAATTTGCAGCCGTCATCAAATAGTCCAAAATACGAATATATTTCGTTTACCCGCTTGGCAAAAATCCATATCTGCCCTGTATATAATCAGTCGGCTACAACCGAATACTACTTAGGCATGTTCTCACTGTTCCATGAAAAAATACAATCATGCTGAAGGGTATCGGGAGCATCATTGTTCTGGTGGTTAGAGCTAATAGAAACATAAACTTGTCTATCGTCATCATAGAACATACAGTTAAGATTATAACCGTGTATCACATTTTCAAGAGGGCAATATGCAAAGTAAATAGTAAAAGTCCAAGTGTGGAGCCCTGTGGGAAACCGTACTCTAGACATCTGGACAAAGATGTGCTTTCACCAAAAATTACTCTCAGAGAGAGGCCCGATAAATATAATGAGAACCATTTACAGAGCAGTGCTTGAAAAGTTAAAATGTGATGTCAGTCTTAATAAGAGGGTGTGGTCTACTGTATTGAATGCCGCTGACAAATACTATTACATGGGGCTTACTAATTTTGGTTATTTATTAATTTTTTTATTTTTAATCAGCTAGTAAATCATGCAAATACTACTAAACTTTAAGCTAGCGAAAAAGTGGAAAAAACACATGTCACGAGTCTTGCTGTGGTTACGAGTTAGGGCGTTATAAGTGAAACAAGTTCATGTAAACCTTTTTTAAAATTATGGGTCTTTAGCACCTTGTGTCCAGATGAAACAGAACAGTACTGAAAGCAACAGAAGGATTGATTATTTAAGCAATAGAAACCATTTTCCGTGTTTGCATACCCTGATATACACACGAAAAACAGATGTCTTCCAATTTTTCTCGGTTAAAATGCCAACTTAAGCGAAAAAAATGACACAGCATTTTTGTAAAGATTTTCCAAGTTTCAGCCTACGAGGGAATGGGTAAATAAAGTATAAAGTTGTTCCATGGATAATACCCATACCCTGTCGAGTTTTCAACTCAAAAACCTTTTTCAAATTCGTGCTTGCCTGACTAGCGCGCGAAAAGCAAAACATCTCGAGGTCACAACTATGTTTACATACTATTATGCATACACGCCTCTCAGCCAATCAGAGCGCGCGTTCTATATTAGTTATTTTATAAAATAGTGCAGTTAGGTCCTCAAGTGAGAAACAATATTTATAGTTTCTAGACTAAATAATACTGACTTAACAGTAAAGCTAATTTTTCAGTAAAAACAATGCGGCACTCAGTTGAATGACGTCACCGGTTCCCAGCAGAACCAATCACATAATATGTATATCGTCTTGTAGAGCTTATCCCGTGTTTACTAGTAAAAGTTTAACCTTTTCAAGATTACTCAAAGCAACAAGATATTACAACCTACTCCCTTGTTCCAGCAAAAAAGAAAATTCTTTAAACAACAGTTAAACGAACGTGACTCCTTGGAGTTAAAATGCCGAGCAATGCTTTTTAGATTTTCTTATAACCCTTGGAATGAAGTTGTTCCAAAATGCCACTTCTTTTGCTCTATACTTGTTTTTTTCCTCGGGCTTCACGTCAAGGGCCAGGTAGGATTGGTTTTCTTTAATGAACTTTGGCCACTTGACAGGAGAATCGCGGCCAGTAGGATTCCTGAAAACGAGGCAAAATCACTTAATGACAGTATGATAATAACGTAAGTTTATCATCGTGCGCAGATCACACAAGTCTGCATTTAAGAAGTAACGTAATTACTTCAACAAAGAAACTTTACTCCTCTACATACAGGGCAGACTCTTTTATGAGACTTCCCAGGCGGACTTTTGCGTTTTCCTTTGCCTTTTTATTCCACAAGGTTAAGCGCATCTTACCAAGAGGGGCTGTCGTCTCCCATGTCCGTCGCCTGTTCAACCGTTTAGGTTTTGGGAAGGCGCAAAAAGATGTGAGTAGGAAAAACAGGGAAGGGGTAGGGTGACTTGGTGCTAAACTCCACCAGCTGAACGCCTGAACAGACTATCATGTTCGTGAATGATATCTCTAAATTGGAAGTGAAATGTGTAACAGCATTGCAATGATAATAGAATTCCTAATAAGAAATGCAGAGTACCAAAAAAGTGAATCTGTCTCCAAAAAAGAGTATCCAACTTAGTTTGAAACCTTTAAATACACACCTGTTGGTGCTGTCAACGGAGATCGTGTAAGAGAAAATAAGTTTCATTCCACTGACACATGCACTATGAGTATAAGATTTTGTTCATTGTCTCAAATGTTCCTGGACTAAATCTACCTCAAATGTCTTAACTTATTGTAAAAAACGAACAAACAAACTGTTAACCAAAAAGTTAACGTGGTTAGGGACGACTTTGAAGCCTGAAAAGTGTTAGGTCAAAACGCGTTTCTGATCTTCTTACCCGAACTTAGCAAAGTCTGTCCACAGCTTCATGATATACGTGCTGAGCCCCTTCTCAATTTCAGAATATTTGGGAGTGGAAGAGTCTACCAGTGGTGAAATTTTCGCGAAAGGTGCTCCAAATACAAAGCCAATGTCTTCCCCATGAAATGCACCTGTCAACTCGGGAAGTTCGGAAAAATCAGGTCGATGCTCAAACACGTAGAAATAAACAGACTTTTTAGCCTGGAGAAGAAAGAGAAGTGAGACAATTAATAGAGTCAGTTGGTGCCCCTTCGGTATTTTTTGACTGGTCAAAGTACAGATGTTTGTATGGACCAGTAGAGTGGGGGAAACCGGACCACGGTTAATGCGACATTTGCACGATGACATCAGTTAACTGTAAGTTCCAGAATCCTTCCTTTTGTTGTTACTTCTACAAATTCGGCTTTTAAAACTTAGTTGGAGTAAAAGCTAAAACGAAATGAGTTCTGGTAGCTGAAGTCTGGCCTATTCTAACCTTAAGAAGTGGATCATTTCCCATCCCGGCCTTCAGTTCATTATCTTTTAGTTAAAACGTCTCACTTCCATTTAAGTTATCCGGCGATAAATTTCATTTGTTTTCTTTCATTATGGAGTCATGCAAAAGAGCATGTTTCGCTGTACTGAAAATATAGGATGTATATAGATGTTTGGACCTGGGGGAGAGTCCGGAATAGGTGTGGGATTTGAATTTTTTTCCATTTTTTTGGATAGGAGAATAGTTTAAATTTGATAAAATATCCCTTTATGGAGATAACAAAATTGCAGTTTGGTTCAAAATTTATGGTGAAAATACCCAGAGAGGGGAAAGGGGAAGTGTTCAAATGCCGCACCTATGCCCGAATACCCCCCCCCCCCACCCCCCATGTCCAAACATTGACAGTTTTTGGGTCCTGGGGGAGGTGCAGGAAAAGGGTTGTGATTTGAATTTTTTTCCATTTTTTTGGGTAGGAGAAGAGTTTAAATTTGAAAAAAAAACCCTTTATGGAGATAACAAAATTGCAGTTTGGTTCAAAATTTATGGTGAAAAAACCCAGAGAGGGGGAAGGGGAAGTGTTCAAATGCCCCACCTATGGCCGAATACCCCCCCCCCCCACCCCCCATGTCCAAACATTGACAGTTTTTGGGCTTATGAGTCAACGTATTGATTATTATATGGCTACTGAGAATACCTCAGCTAAAGCGATTGCCTCAAAAGTCATTGGTGCCACAGTCATAAAGTCACTTTCAATCATCCTGTCTCTCGCTTTTGTGTCAGAAAGATCTGCGTACTGGTACTTAACCAGCTCGTCCACAATTTTGTTGTCTATGTTTCCATATTTGAGGATTTTTGAAATGCTGCTTCTAGCATCTTCTGACCTATGAATGACATCTAGAGATGACTCGTGGGTTGTAAACCCAGTCATGATTTCAACATTTGGAAACAGTTTTTTCAAAAGAGAATGAGGTGGTTTTCTCCCTTTCTTGTGATATTCATACAGCTCCTGAGTAGATTCTTCTAGAAAATCATTATCAATAACTGGGTTGCTGAGTTCCATCAGAGCTTTGGCGTGTTTGGAGGAGATCCAAGATTGCAACTGAATGATGTCCTTAGCACTTTTACCTCGAAGACAGTCGATGAGCTTGTCGTTAAAAGAGCAGTTTGCAGCAGCAGCTAGCTTTTGTACTGACTCGTTGGCTGCCTTTCTTGGTAGGTAGGGAGTTGACGTCGCACCGCTTTGCATGATGGCCCTTTGGAACAGATGTTTTGATTTAGGCGACATTAGATGCAAAGCGACACTCGTTGCCCCTGTACCTTGACCAAACACAGTCACTTTGTCGGGATCACCACCAAAGTAGGCAATATTGTCATGGACCCACGTTAGTGCTTGAATCTGTAGAGAAAATATACACTAAATGTCAGTTCCAGGGGGAAAAGGCTAGTTTTGTTTTCTCCAGAGTCTAACCCTTCTGGTAAGGTGGGATTGTTTGCTATTGTTTGTTGAAAAATATATAAGAATAAAAATAGGAAGATAAACTTGGCCTTTCACTTAAATACACCATAGCCGGCCTTGTCTTGGACACCTTGTCTTGGACATGCTCCGTTGCATTGTTGGGAGGGACAAGGTGTTGTCTGTAGTGTTTCTAGCATATTATAGGCCATTTTTCACCCAAGCTTGTTACCTGATCAAACATTCCGTAATTTCCCGTTTTGTTTGTCCCAGGAACACTGCTTAAGAATCCCAGAATTCCTAGCCTGTAGTTGAATGTCACAACAATGACATTATTGTAGCCTGCTAAAACGTGAGCTGGATATTCAGTAGAGGAACCAATGGAAAAGCCACGGAATTTAGGGGGGGAACTGAAACTGGCCAAACCAGTGCCATGAATCCACACCATCACTGCCATCTTGCCTTCTGTGCTACTAGTTGCTGGCACAAACACATTCAAGAAAAGACAATCCTCATTTTCTGAAAAAAAAAAAAAAAATCCATATCAGTAAAATAAGACAACGGAAAATTCTGCTGTAAGGGAGTTACCGTCTCATTTTGAGAAGACCGTACATGTCTCACGTCTTTTCCTCAGTTGATGATGATGGTGATAATGATTGTGATGATGATGATGATTCAAACAGGACGTGCGTCACAAACCTGCCTTGACCTCCCGGGGAGGTACCCCCTTTTAAGGCCTATACGAAGATATGCCACTGGACAGGGTGTGGTTTTTGACCTCTCTGTCCTAAACAAGGTATACATCGTGTGAGTCTGTCAACAGGGTATTGCCCGCACGATTGATTTGATTTGCAAGATAAATCTCGTTTCTTCTCAAGTATACAAAAGCCTATAACGTAAATTTGTTCTATTGCAATTGCCAATAAATGGCTTTAAAACAAGGCGGCGTGTATTTTTTTGCTTTGTCCTAAACATGGCAAAAAAATTGCGGGTGTTGTCCTAAACAGGGTATTTATTGTAGGAATTCTTTGTCAGGGTCAGGGTTTTTCAGCGGCTCAAGTACTCCCTCGCCTCTCCTCCCCGGGCTTGACCTAGCACAATACCTAACTCACCTCCCTACTTCTTTGAACATGTGCTTCAATTAGTCCATCCCTAATAATGTACCCAAGAATTTTCTACGTGAAATGAAAGGAACCAATATGACAGAGTGTGGAGTCAAGCTGTGAGGTATATCCTAAATATCTGAGCCCTAACTTGCAGATATTATTTCCGTGCGTAGCGTTCATCGAATTTATGGATTAAGCTTTGAATCTTTGAATTTGCCATGGTATGACATACAACCTTTTACCCACTTTTGTTGATGCCTCTAATTACTCTTTTTCCGCGCGATGTATACTTATGCGGAACAGCCTTCCCTCTACTGCTGTTATCGCTCCCTCGTTGCCCGTGTTTAAGTCCACAGCCAAAAACTTTCTGTTATCACCTACCGTGTAATCGTGCCATCCATTGCCATGATTAGCCTGCACTTTTGGTAATTAACCGATTAAAGATCAAAGACAAAGATCGTCCGCGAGAGCTTTCAAAAGCTGGCTGGACACACATCCGATAATATAATACTGTTATACGCCTCTTACCTTTTCCTATTTCCCTCTTTAAGGTAGGTATATCAAAGTGCGGTTGTAGACACGCCGATCCAAACTCCTTCGCTGCCCTTTTTCCTGGCCAAGGTTGAAAGGATTCTGGACGAGCAAACCTCAATTCATTGACCGGTGGTTTAGCATACGGGATACCGAGATATTCATACACTGATTTGCCATTTGGTAGCGTCTCAAGCTTGCCAACAATTGTACCTAATGTGGTGTTTACCTCGCGAGTACTGTCATTGGGCTGAAACTGAAAAAGGTTTATTTCGTGAAACAAAAGCATGAGAAAAATGGACAAAGACAGGGGTTGATTACTACTAACAGACAGATCATTTCATTGGACCTGGGAACTCGAGGTATTGATATAAATAAATTGATGAATGAAGGATAAGTAAATAAATAAAAAAAACATCAAATGAATAGAAATAACGATTTAGAGGCTGTAACACATCCACTTACAGGTTCTTCGTCTACCTGATTCCTGGTCGAACTGGAATTTGGAAACGTTTGTTTTTTGAGGAAAGGGGAACATCGGACTACCCGGAAAAAAAGCTCTTGGACTAAGGAGAGAACCGACATCAAACTTAACCCACAAATGGCCTTGGTGCGGGGATTTGAAGGAAGTTTTGGGTGACATCTTTCGTCCAGGCTTGGCCTCTGTTTTAGAGGGATTACGCGGTTTAAAAGGGTGGCCTGTTCTAGATATTTTGCTGCTGACACTCAGGCACGTTCGGAGGTAGTGACATCCATTTCTGTGGAACTTCATGATTTTATCGTGGTCGACTCAGAAGAGTCAGGAAAAACTGAAGCTATTTCTGACGAAAACGCGGTCCTTCAAAGCCTTCAAAGTAGGCCGGGATGTCGGTATTTAAACAACGGGCACTTTTGAAATAAACTTACTCTTAAGACATTAAAAGGAAACAGCTGATCGTACTACGTGAAAGTTAACTTTGCAAGACATCAACACGACACGAAAGAACCCAAAACTGAGCAGCTGTTTCACCATTATTGTGGCTCGAACGGCTTGGAAACTAAAATTTCGAGGACGTTTTTAGACTTTTTACATTTAGGGCATGAATTTTTCGTCATTTCAGGCCATGGAACCTAAAAATGAGCCTAGCTAGCTGTAAAAAGGGGCAATACGGAGGCAATACGTCCTAGACGGCATGATCACATGCTGTTTACGGAAAATTCCCTCATCCATGTCAGGAAATTCTGTACTTTAAAGCCTCCCCTAGGGCATGACTCAGCAATTGAGGACATTTCTGTTACGTTTTCAATGTTGGTTAGCATGCAAGGATTTTTCCCATGCCTATCGTCAATGATTTGCTCACTGGTAATAGAGGGGGTGGCCCCAGAGTGGTTTTGCATTGAAATTGGCATGCAACAGAATTTGGCATGCCCTGTAAGCATAATTTGAGGTTCTGTGACCTTCTCACCCAGGCCGCGAGAAGCCTAGGTTCTAGTAATAAGTAATTCATACCCAGCAAAATCTCCGGCATGCCGGGCATGCCAAATTTTCTGACATGCCCGGCATGCTAAATTCTCTGGAATGCCGGGCGTGCCATAATCTGGGTCATGCCGGGCATGCCAAAATCGGTCTCTGGCATGCTCTCAACGCACAGGTTATAATTCCTTGAATCTACAGATATTTTAAGCGTGGCTAAAAAAAAAAAAAACTAAACAGATCAGCAGTGCTTATCTTTTGATGTACGGTTAAACGATGACGTCATTGCTATTCCTTTCATTTTCATAGATTTGGTTGTCCCAGCGAAGTTTAAATAACAAAAGCTCTAATTTTCACAAGAAAGTAAAACCCTGAGGGATTCTGCCGAAGTAATAAAACAGCGTCATCATGTTGATGACCTGTTAGGGGATGCTAAAAACTCCTCACCCCTTTTAATGAGTCTTTAATAAGATTTCCACTTCACATTGCGAATAAAATGGAATTGACTGAAATCAGTAAAAAGAGAGACAGAGACTATTTTCATTGTATAATAAAATGCATCTATGTTCCATGAAAGCTTTTAAAAATACAAGGTAATAGAATATCTTTCAAAGTTCATTACAAACTGAGCCAAGCCCCAAAATCACTGTTCATTATTCAGTAAATTATGATGTTTGACAATGCAATGTGCTTGAATATAACGTTGCAATTACAAATCTCTCTAACGCAATTTTCCCTACGTTAGAAAAGCTGTTTTTATCTTGTTTCACATTTTGATAAGGAGTCTGAGTTCCTCTTTCTTGTTTTGTAGGCTTGCCAGAGATTAATGTTTTTATGTCATTACCAGTGTCTGTGTTCTTTGTCTTTAACTCAAAGTAAGTCAGTAATAACTGACAGTATCAAAGAATTGCTCTCTAGAAAAGTAATTATCTCCTAGTCATGTCTGGAAGTTACCTGTAACAAAAAAGAAATGGAATGTTAACACATGCAAGGGCAATATGAAAAAAAGAAATAGAACATGTAGAGCTCAGCTTCTCTTAACATATTTTCATACTGGCTTGTTGAGTCTGTTAAAGGTCGCAACTAATTGTCTGAGGCTAATTTCACAAGAGTGTGCAATTGAGATAAATACATGGTAAATAAAGTGAAAGAAACGTGGTTTCACATTAGCCAATTTACATTGCGCTGTTCGATGATGTTTACACGCTTTTCTACTGCGAAATAAACCTTTGCATTTGGATTTGCAAGTCAAGATTATACCGAGTTTGACTGACACTTAATTGAACAACAGTTTCATTTTTAAGCAGGCAATTGGGGTGTAGACCCATATAAAGCCGGAATATGTAAAGGAAACTCAGCGAAAACTTTTTCGCATCTTTTTGTGGCGATATTCTTTCACGGCCCGTCAACTGATTAGGGGTTGCGAAGAAAAAATAAATTAGGACCAAAGGTTAAAGCCTGTCCGGTTACATCATTTCGTATGTTACCTAGAGTTCTAATAAATAGGTCATAAAATAGGATTTAACGAGAGCGAATTTGTTTCTCAATCGGTGTATAAAAAAGTGAGGCTATCAAATGAGAAGTTTATAGAGTATCAAAATTATTAAATTAAAAGCTCATTTAATTAGGAAAATTCCTATACGAAAACAATGCTAGTGACATTAAATTGATCAGATAAAATTCTCAGAAAATATGTCCAATAAAAGCCTCATTATTTGCTTTTGTTTTTGCGTAAAGGTAAATTTTTCGGCCCACAAAGCAAAGTTGAAAAAGCGACTAAATCTTAGTTTTTTACATTGAACATGTTTATTAGCTTAGTTTTCGTCCGTTTTAAAAGCTTTATAACCCAATCATAATTTTCGGGTTAAAATATTACAAAATCATTTCAAAAACCATGTTCATTTAAAGTAGAGCCGGCAAACCTGAACATTTTGTAATTCAAAAGTCGGACCCAGCCAGGTTGTTTAAGCTTAGAATTATTTGCATTTTAGCGTCCTATAAATTTACCAGAATCGCCTCTCAGAGGCTTACTGTAGCAAAGCATTTTGTAGTACACTCGTAGACAAGCAATGTAAGCCTTAAGTCTTTGCTTGGATGAGATGTCCAAAAGAAAAATTAGTTTTGTGGACCTAAACGCACATTCACAGACTGCTTATATTGAGTTGTTTACAACTTTGCATTGACACGCGCAGCATGTTCATTTTTTTAAAGCGAAATCCAAATCTGATTTTGGCATTTGATTTACGGATATTTTATTTTGTCTCCAAAAGTGATTGTAATATCCGTTTGATTGTCTTTCAAACAACAGTCAAACTATGCAGCAAAAATAAGTAACTTTACCAGTACAGTGGAAAAATATGACCGTAGGTGCCAAAAATAATTATACTCGAGCTATAAAATTAGAACTGACTTTTTTTAGCTTTGGTTTCTTATTTTTGAAGTTTTCTCTAGTCTTCTTAGCAGCAGAAGAAGATTACAAGACATACAAACAGAAACAATCCGAAGTGAACAAGTTGACAACCACTTATGCCGGAGTTCTTAGGCATGCTCAACAGCAAGATAAACTGAATGCCAAAAGGATAATTCACGGGATTTGTTCGATATTCAGGCTTTTTCTTTACCAAATTAATACTAAATTTGTACTTACAGTCTCTCGCAGAATCCATTTCTTGTCCAGCATTCACCAACATCTCAACCATGCACCGCAGAAAAAAAAGACAAACAAGTGCGAAGAGACATGACGACATCGTGACGCCACAACTGCCACGCTACAACAAACTAGATTCCTCGTCATCCGCGAAAACACTTCTGCGGAAATTCGGCCGATTTCGTGCGTGCTCGGGGTATCTTCGGATGACGCAGATGACGTTGCTCAAAGGACTATCGTCAGCAAGGAGTAAAACAGTTTGCGAGATTCGCATAGCCGACAAGGAGCGCACTGAAAAACTAAGCAAAATCTCTCTGAGAAGGCAGTCCAAATTCACCAAATCAGAACGTCTTTGCAGTATTAACGTCGTACTCTCGTACTGACTTGAACGACCTGGTAAGCTTCATTTTCACCAGTCTTTTAATGCTGTTGACCGGGAAACATTCCGACACGATAAAACTTAAGCATGGATAAGTTTATACTGAGAAGATTTGTTATCTTATTGTTTAAGACGCTTTTCCGCGATCAAATTTAAATGTGGACCCAGAAATGTCAGTATCGGTTTGAAATAAAAGGATTAATCTTTGATTGCAAGTTAAGTATTCTATTTTATGTATGAATAATGTTGTTTTGTTGTGCTTTTTATTTATAAATCCAGGCTTCTGTCTTCAGTTTTGCCAGTCGATCCCGTGACACACATTGTGACAAACATGACTTTTTTTGTTATAATCTGCATTTATTGCCAGGCATGAAACCTGTAACTTCAAGCTCCCTAAGATATATTTGGCGATTATATGTGATTCTCAGGATATGATGCTGAAGCGAACATCAAAATCAGTCTCGCTGGGCATGCCAATTTCTTGCCTGGCATGCCGGGCATGCCAAACCAACTGGCTTCACCATCGGCATGCCCGGCATGCCAAACCAGAGGAGCTAAAACTGGGAATGAATTATTAACCCGGCGAGAGATCTGGGACCTAAGTTTAGCTGGGTCAATTTTGGGCTGCGAGGGCATGAACCCATTTTTTCCATGCCTATGAGATGTTATTTCTAAGTACCAATGTTCCCTTGAATTTTGTCATGCCTAAATATATAAAATTTTCCCTCTCTCATTAATCCTCAGACTGGTTGCGATTTTTACGCTCGCTAGGCATGTTCAACTGAAAATCATGCCCATACCCTTATTCAAAACAAAATGCTATCAAATTTCAGTTTCCAAGCCGTTCTCGCTAGGACGGCGTAACAAACAGAGAAGCTCTGCTGAGAAAATAGACCCTCACTGAACTCCAACATCCAGCAAATCACACCATATCACGTGTCTCCCGGAGGGCAAAGAAGGTATAGGATGTCTCGCAAAGAAAGTATAGGATGGACAAAAACAACCTTAGAAACATGGACAAGGCAATGCAAAATGTACAACACATCGGATCTATAAAATAGATCTTCGGTCCCAAAATATAAAAAAATTATTAAAAGGAAATGCTGTTAAATTTGCAAATTATATTTTTTGTACGTTTTAAAGGTAGAGACGTTTATTGCCCTAATTTTCACTTCCATTTGTTCTGTTTATTTTTGAAAGGTGCCAAGCAATCAAAATATACCTAATAAAACAAAGCAAAATAAATAAGCAACTACAACAAGAGCAGCAACAGCAACAACAACAACAACGAAAACAGTAACTATGGAGCTACACTTGAAAAAAAACCTTTTTTGTAGCATACATGTTAAAATTTTGTTGAGTCGGCATCAGTATGAAAATTAAAGATTTGGAGAAAAAAATGTTAAAACTACTTACCTTAGGAGACGAAATTGCTTGTGGGCCTAAAATTAAAAATCATAGATTCAGTATGTTACTTCTCTTTATAGGACAGAATGAAGAGTGCATTTCAGACTTGTGACCAGCGAAGGGTGCATTTGATTGCTCTCGTTTTGGAATGTATCCGTAACGAAATATCGCATTTTATTTACATGTAAAGTTTCTTTAATCGGGTTTTTTTCTTTATACTAAAGAGCCACTGCATATAATACTTTCAATGAAAGAATTGACAACACACTCTCGCGCGGAACACAGTTTAACTTTGTTAAGCACAGCGGCAGTTTACGGTCTTTTATAAGAATCAAAGTTTTTAAGGATATCTTCAACCCGAGGTTGAGCCTTTTGAAAAGGATATAACTTGTGTGTTGAAAATCTGTAATCAAAATACAAATTAACCGGGTAGTACACCTTTCTCTAAACGGCAAAACTAGCTAACAAAACGAAAAATAGCTGGACTAGCTATAGCCAAATGTTCCATGAATGACTTCGATGAACAATAGATGTAATACATATGTAGAGTATACAGCGCGAAGAAAAGGAATGAACTAAGCCGCAAAAAGTGTCATTATAATAAATTCTTTCTTTTTGAAGAAAAATACAATACTATTTTCAGCCTAAAATAGGCAGATAAATAAGAATATTCCGCCTGGGCAAGAAAATCATGATTATTATGATTATAATTATGATGAGGATGATGATGATGATGATGATGATGATTATTATTTAATCAGTTTACGACGTACGCATGCTTAGAAAATTAGCCACACGGGACGCAAAGCGTAGCCTATTATGCTGTTTTACAGGAATTCAACCCTGAAAAGGTGATAATGAGTTAAATCTACACTGGTGCAATAAAAAGAAATTCCTAAGGAATCCTAAAACTAATGCAAACCTAAGGTTTACATAATGTAATATAATAATGTATTATATAGTATTAAAAAAATGAAACTAATGAAAGCCTTATATTTTTATGATAAAAATGAAATAATAAAGCAAACGTAAGGCTTATCCGGTCCACTATCTATTGAATGTCCGAAGGAGAGCACGCCCACCCACTTAACCAGGCAAAACAGCCGTGCTCACTCAGCTGGTCGTCTTCCCAAGTAGTTCATAGCAGACGTCCTTGCCATCTCTGGTCTTCCACCTTCTCCTTAAGCTTCTTTTCCACAGCTTTCTTAAGATGTTAGCTCACCTGATATTTACTGATTTTCTTCTCTGGGACTTGCTGAGAGCTAAAGGATGGGTCGGGAGTGGCCAAATTCACATAAGTAGCAAGTTTCTCCCCAAACTTGTGCGCGTCTTTCACAAGTAAGGAGAATCCCTTCTCGCATTCTTTTGCTTCAAAAATCCAAACACTTCTCATCCGTTGGGTCTGGATTCTCATACAGCCTCATAGCCATCTTGGTCTTAATTAATTCGTACTCTTGACCTACAGACTTGAGTCCACGACCCCTTTTTATCTATAAGAAGATACAACACTGCAGTGGAGCTAAGAGGGTGTCTCTGTCCATTCTCACTGATTAACTGTCTCTCTATCAATGCTTTGTAAATCTCCCAATGGCCAATGTTGGATTCACATTGGGTATGTCAAGACAAGCAAGGCGAACGAGTTTGTTGCCTTAAAGCGGCTGGCGTCGGACAGACGGCTTGTCCAGATTAATGAGAGCCTTTGCAAGTACGACCTTGCTGCTACTGTAAGAGTGTAAGTGTTAACTTCTCGTCTTCCATCACGGACTCTCTCACACCCAGGAACTTGCGCTTGGCCTCAGTCTTAAGGTACTCGACCAGAGTTGTCTCGTCTGGTTTGAGATCTGCATAAGCAATGCAGTAGAGCTAAGAGGGTGTCTCCCACCATTCTCACTGATCAACTTTCTTGTCTCTCTATCAATGCTTTTCAGCTCTCCCAATGGCCATTGTTGGGTCCACATGGGGTACGTCAAGACAAGCAAGGCGAACTGGTTTGTTGCCTTGACGCGGTTGGCGTCGGACAGAGGGCTTGTCCATATTATTGAGAGCTTTTCCAAGTACATCTTTGCTGCAACTGTAAGCTGGTCTTGTCCTGTTTGAGGTTTGCTGCATGTTCAACTTGCTTGCCCTTTCTGATATAGATACCTTTACACTCATTTGGATTCCACTTCTAGCCGATATCCTGCAGGTTAGCACTCATCTCCATACTCCAAACTGACATTTCCCTCTCAGTGGTTCTCACAAGACATTTTCCTTTTCCTACATGAAATTTCTATATCTTTCTATGTCTCTTGAAATTTCTGCCTGAGAAAATGTTCATGAAAGTCTAAGTCTCTTCAATAGTTTAGGGAAAAGNACCTTTACACTCATTTGGATTCCACTTCTAGCCGATATCCTGCAGGTTAGCACTCATCTCCATACTCCAAACTGACATTTCCCTCTCAGTGGTTCTCACAAGACATTTTCCTTTTCCTACATGAAATTTCTATATCTTTCTATGTCTCTTGAAATTTCTGCCTGAGAAAATGTTCATGAAAGTCTAAGTCTCTTCAATAGTTTAGGGAAAAGAATTCCGAGATGGAACGAGCAGGATTCGATCCCGGAGAATAGAATCTGTAGTCCACCACCCAAACCACTAGATTACCAAGGATTTGCTGGGAAGAAGTGGTTCGAGTTGGAAGTATATAGCATCAACCTTAAGCCTAAATAGAAGCTAACCGTTTTTCGAGTCATGGCTTAACCCTTATTAGTATTGGTAGTCAATGCATGCGGTTCCTCCCTTTGCAGAGAATCACTTTTGTATGAATCAGAATGTGTCACGCCATTTTGGAATACGGAGATGAGTATTAACCTATCCTGCATACCGGCACTGGTTGATGGTAGTGCCCTGCTTAGCTTGCTCTCAGATGAAGCGAACACTTTAAGGTCGTCTACATACAGCAAGTAGGTCACCTTAGTCCCTATAAGCTTAGAAAGCCTATAACCCTAGGTAACATTTAGTTTCCAGGCAACCGGGTCTTAGACATAAAGTGACGAGACGCGGGCAAAGTGCCTTTCCCTCGGGTAGACCCTCACTGAATCTGAATGTCGAGGAAGTCTCATTCCCCTGCTTTATAGGAACTGCAATTCTGCTATTCCAGCTTGCACAGAGGTTCCGGATCTCCCTACAGAGCTAGCTGGGGAACCGGTGTAATCCATAATCTCGTTTAGCCACCTATGATCAACGGATAGTCATAGGCCTTCTTAACATCCACTCAAGCCATGCTTAAGTTCCGTTTACCTCGATGGCAATCCTGTATGGCCATTTCATCAATCATTATTATTATTATTATTATTGTAATTATTATTATCATTATCAATATTATCATTATCATCATCATCATCATCATCATCATTATTAAAAATTCTGTTTATAGTCTTACTTACACTCTAAAGAATAAACGATCCTGACCTCAGATAAATGGATTTTGTTGTCAGTTGTGTGCACTTCACATGTAATGGTCATAGTGTGACCCGTTGTTTTCTGTGGCAAGGTACGTTTTATGCTCAAGTTGCTACTGGAAATGCTTACAACCTGAATCCTCTTGTCTTCCAGAAGCTGACTTTCCGTTTTAAAACATTTCCTTTCTTTGTTACAGTAACCGATGTCTCCGTCGGCTCCTTTTACTCTCCAATACATTTCCAAGTATTTGCTTCGGTCTCTTTTGATTGCATCACAATCCAGTGTCTGAATATCACCTCTAATGGAACGCTCTTGTCGTGTTATGGCAGAACCTGAAAAATATGTCAAAAAAATGATGTGATACTAACCTTAAAGGGTCTCTAAGGGTTTTTTCAATTCACTATAGAATTTTACCATTAAAATTGATAATTCTTTACTGATGAGATATTAAACAGTCGGATCCCACCTTGAGATGAAAAGAAATAAAAAATAAAATAGATAAATAAATAAATAAAAAATGCGGACATGGCAAAATGTAAAAAAACAGTGTTTGAAAAATGTGCGTAAGGTATTTATGCCGACGCCATTAAATGACGAGAGGGCGGTAAATACCATAACTTATTTGCGTCTGAACGTTTACGAGAGCTTCTCAGTAAGTATGTCTCAATATGTTTATAATAAATCAAGATAATTTGACGAGGTTGCCTATCCTGTGGTATCTACCGTCAAAACTTGTTTTACTCGATCATAGTGAGCAGGATTGGCTCCTGAGTGTGTAAATTGTTGCTTTTACTTTGTTTCCTGTATTATAAAAATGACTGCATCGATAGCAAAAATGTCTGGTTTCTTAGAGGTCGCTATTAGCTACACTTTTCACAGTCCCCTTTGCGTAAGATCGCCGGGATCGAGCGCTTACCGGCGCGGTACGTGTGGCCATCTTGGTTTCATAATTATATGTACAGAGGGGACAGGCGTCGAAATTTTGACGCTGCCGGGAAGGGAGGCGAGAAAAATTTCTTTTCAGTTATTTTTCCCACTTCCTCCCAAAATGTCCCCCTCCCCCTAAGTTGATTTGAAACTCATCCAAGATGGCCGCCTGTAACACAATACGCAATAGTGGGCCTGGCCTGTGAACAGTCTAGCTATTACCATGATTACACTTTGCTGGAAATGCACCGGGAAAGGAAATTTCTCGGAAAAACGATACAGACAGGAAGTTACTTTTCAGTGAGGAATTCATGCGATCCGAGAAACATGTAAAACATCATTCCTACCTGATATGTAATGAAGCAAATTTCCTGTTGGGAAGCAAAAAATAGAAATTTAACGAAACCATGCAACACTTTCACTTTTACAGGCATCATGTTAATAGGTAACTGTCAGTGTATACTCTAGTCTCCCTTCGCGAGTCTCCGACAGTTATCAGACTCTTATCATCTTTTAGACAACATAGCTCAGTAAAACACTTAACAACCGTCTGTTTCAGAGCGTACTTAATTGAAACTGCTGTAGACCTGCACTGGAAATGGCCCAACGATAATTTGCATTGACATTCCGTACATAACCTATTCTCAAGCAACGGCAAAGCGATACCTTTCCTCTTACATCAGGCAAAAGTTTTGAACTATCAAACTAGTCAGTATTTGGTGCAAAGAACTGCTACTAATATAATAGTTATCGCTTTCACCCGGACACTAAAGGCCCCGTTAAAGTTGGATTCATGAAGCCCCCTTTACATGTAAAACCCTCCAAGATCAATCTATTGTAGCTATATTTCATAAATTCATTTGATTTTTTGTAAATTCAAAGAGAGTTAAAGACTGAATAACCTATAAACTGTTTCGATGAAACCTTGAAAATATCATACTAACGAAAGAAAGATCAACCTTAAATCGAAAGTACTTTCATATCCGTTTGCATGATCTTTGCCTGAGCCAAAAGATTCGCTGAAAGCTTGGTTTCAGTATAGTTCCAGCGCATATTTACAGTTTCCGGCTTNTCTTATCATCTTTTAGACAACATAGCTCAGTAAAACACTTAACAACCGTCTGTTTCAGAGCGTACTTAATTGAAACTGCTGTAGACCTGCACTGGAAATGGCCCAACGATAATTTGCATTGACATTCCGTACATAACCTATTCTCAAGCAACGGCAAAGCGATACCTTTCCTCTTACATCAGGCAAAAGTTTTGAACTATCAAACTAGTCAGTATTTGGTGCAAAGAACTGCTACTAATATAATAGTTATCGCTTTCACCCGGACACTAAAGGCCCCGTTAAAGTTGGATTCATGAAGCCCCCTTTACATGTAAAACCCTCCAAGATCAATCTATTGTAGCTATATTTCATAAATTCATTTGATTTTTTGTAAATTCAAAGAGAGTTAAAGACTGAATAACCTATAAACTGTTTCGATGAAACCTTGAAAATATCATACTAACGAAAGAAAGATCAACCTTAAATCGAAAGTACTTTCATATCCGTTTGCATGATCTTTGCCTGAGCCAAAAGATTCGCTGAAAGCTTGGTTTCAGTATAGTTCCAGCGCATATTTACAGTTTCCGGCTTCAATAGTTCAGATGGTCAAGCGACCTTTTTTTTGTCTCTGAAAGGGAAGACGTATATCTCCTCTTATATTTTCAAGTTCTGCTCAGTGGGAGAGAAATGGCGATGCCATATTACTAATGGGGGTTTTCCCTTTCAAGGCCTTTCAGTATAGTTAATCAAAAATGTGTTTTTAACTTAAGTGGTATAATTAATTATTTCTTTCTCTAAACGGGAAAACTAGCAAACACTCTAAAAAAAAACCCCACTTCAACTAATGCCAAATCTTCAGTGCTAATCTGATAACAGCTCGTTGAACCGGTACCTTGATACTCTATGCAATACATGCTAAAACGGAAATGGCATAAGCTTCGGATCACTCAATTTAAGGATAATAAAAGAATATTTAAGCCTAAATTCGGCAGAAAATAGGAATATTTAGCTTAGACCAGAAAAACAACATTATAAAATAATATCCTATCGAAAATCTCCGCCTCGGGTTTATTCTTATAATATTCTTAAAATTTTGCAAATTTCAGCCTCGATATTCTTATAAAATGTATTCTAACAACGCGAATTTACCGATAATTTAGGAACAAACACCGTTTCTTGTTAGGGTGTGAAACTGGACATATCGTTTTAACCCATGATTACGTTGTCAACAGTCAAACGTTTTATATTGACGTTCAATTTGCATTTAGTAATTTATAGCTTGACCAATTCCGTTATACAGGCATAACTGAAGCTGTACAGAGATCTGGGAGTGTACCCCTGGACATATTGTCGCCTTAGGGAAGTTGTAGGTTAGCAGTTTCCCAGAAACGTGTAACAATCCAAAATCCGCAGAGGTTTGTCGGGAAGGCCCCCTATAACCGTAACCCACTTACCCTAATTCACACTTTGGCACTGTTCTTAAGTGACGAAGAAATATACCTATTTCAGACCCAAAATGGAGTAAAAAGACCATACCCTTTGGCGCTGCACATTTCCGTTTAGCGCTTATGCAGTCTAAAGGGACCAGAGGGGCACCTGCTCAGTTCTCCCCTAATTTAAGTATTTTACTTATTTAACCACACACACTTATTGATACAAAGAAAACCTTCACCATATCACTCACTAAAGGATACGATTTAGATAGTCCTGGTCCGTTAACTGCATTGTGCATCCTAAACAGCAAACTTTGTCAATCGTTAAGTGAAAATATAATCTCATTTATTCAATATCTGTTTTACTTGTTTTAGTTAAAAGACTGAAGCTAATAGGAAATACTATGGATCAGGCCTTAATTTCGTCCATATGAGCGGAACACGTAATTTAATCCAACTTAGTCTTATCCTTGATAAAAAAGGAAGCTGTTATAAAAAAAAAAGTCACGTGCACGGGTGCTTTCAACTTACCCCAAAGTAGCAATAACCACAAAGCTGAACTAGAGCTCATGTTGACCTTTTTCTAAAATGATTCTTGCAGTTGCTAAACAAGTTTCGCTGTTGTAATGCTTCGCCGACCAAGAATAATAAGACTGACTCTGCAAAAAAGAAAAAGGGACGAATTACTTTGTCATCAAGAACTATCGTAAAGTAAACAAACGGAGCTTTCTCTTTCGAAATCTACTCTTTCTCTTTCATTTCCTCTGCTAATGAATTTTTTCGTTCTCGCTATGCTTTAACTCAGTGAAGAAATTAGGTGTTTCAGACTGAAAGAGATCAAGAAGCGATTTAAGGCAATCTAGAGAATTAATGCTGAGTCCAGTTTGCACCCAGATTGAGTATTGTTTGAGCCTATATTTTCTTACGAAATCATTTTGTGCTCCATCGTTCTGAGAGAACTTATTGCTTCTCTCGCCAAAATGGGCTCCCTAAGTTTCTTGATGTACGCATGATCACTGCCGCCGCGGCGCGACGTCTTAAAAATAGTCATTTTCAAAATTTAGTTCGAATTCTTGCTTAATAAGCTCTGGGAGCTGTGACCAATAGCTATAAATGTGTCCCCTTTAATGTCGAAATTCTATCGTAAGTGAGAATTGTACCACTGTAGTAGAAATACCAACAAACTATTTCAAAGTGCATTCATCAATTTGCGTTCCTAAAAGTGTTTTAGGCTTGCGCTGCCCGGTTGAATCTTTCGTACGTGAGTACGCTTAATTAACCGTTTTAACAACTTCTTTTTCATGTTGGGGTTTTTTCCCTTCAGTTATCATGGTGAAGCATCCTTGCCAATATCGAGCAGCAAAAGAAAGGCTGACGTTATGTTTGGCATATTTTTTTTAAACCTTGATTCAGCTAGTTTTCCATTTGCTTGCTTTCACCGATAATAATTAAGTGATCGACCAAATAATCACAAACAATAGAGAAATAATAAACAAATTATACGTACAAAGGAATGAACCGACTAATATGACTAACTTACCGTCTTCTATCCCTGTACCGCTAGTTGTGGACTGCGCACTAAAAGTGACTTCTTTAATGTTTCACAAGTGTTTTATATAAATCAGATCATGTGACCATTTTACCGATACAACCCGGAACAGCAACATAAATAAAACGTTTGTCACCTATTTTAAAATATACCTTAACAGGAAAAGAGAGAACGCCAATATGGTTAACGAACAGTTTTTGAAAATTTCCGGTTAGAAAGTAAATGAAACACCACTTTTGAGTCTTTTCGGGGCCACCTGAGACCACCTATAATTCAGCGGAAACTTTCCAGGTCGGTGAAACGGGATCACCGTGAAAAAGAATGTCCCAGAGAGAAATGTAAATAAACAGTACTGTAAATTTAACTTGTA